TATATTGTTCTTTGTCCTCATAACCAAAATAATGGCATTCTTCATTTAGGAAGCTTATAATGGCTTGAATACTAGGACGTTTTTCAGGTTTATTTTGTAAACAAGCCTTAAATTTCATAATTAAATTTAAATAAATTAATATTATTTTTTATCAAAAAATTTGGGAGATACCAACTTCTATATTTTTAAAATTAGAGAATATTTTATAAAGCGGAAGTAATGTAGGGCAGGCATTCATTGTAGTGAAAACCCCAGAGAGTTGGGCCCAACTCTCTAGTCGCCCTAGAGAGTTGGATAACTTTTTGAAGAAATGAGGATTACACAGGATATTCTAATTCAGGTGCGGTTCATAACTTTCGCGCCGCGCCTCCCAGTTTTTTGTTCACTTCAGCGACAAAGAGATAAGAGGATTTGATTTCTTCCCATTGTAAGCAAAAATTTTGAGAGACGTAAAAAATTTTTTTAGTTTGAGAGACTAGAGCGTAAATTTTTAAATTTCTAGAGACGTCTAGAGAAATCAAATTTTCCAGGTTCAAAACCGACTGCAAAAATCCGAAACTGACTAATGTGTATTAAAGAAAAGACGAGCACTAAAATGGTAGGAAAAGTTGGAATATCTTCTACAAGTTCATTTATACGAAATCAACATCCTTCAGGCAAACCACGGATGTGAGGCTTTTGAAAGAAGATAAATAATTCAAATAAATAATTCAATAAATAATTCAAAAAATAAATAATCAATAAATAATTCAAAAGATAAATAATTCAAATAATATTTTTCTGAGAGATTAACTATAAATATACATTTATGATATCGGGAAAATTTTATTAATATTTACTATGTTTGATTAAATTGATAAAATTTTTATAAATAGGTAAATTGCTGATTTTTAAAAATATTTTCAGAAGGTAAAATATTTAACTTGCTAAAGCAAAGCTTTTCTTGCATTATTCTCAATTTTTCAGCATAGTATGTTAATTTGTGCACAAATAAGATATGAACGACAGGTAAAAAGTTTTATCCAAAAGAGTATAAAACAGCAAAAATTTTAAATAATAATTCTAAAAGAAAAATTACAAGTGATGAAATATTTTAAACAAATATGTAAAATGTTAAAAAAGACACAGTAAAAGTTATAATTTTAGATACATAACCGAAATAAATGAAAAAATAATAAAGGGACGAGGGGTGTCGAAAATTTCAATAATTGCAATGACAGTAGGCAATCAAATAAATTATGTACATGGGTACTTTTCCATTCTCTTTTTGTCTTATCACAAAATGGAACCAATTCAAAAAAATCTCTTCATCATTGTTAAATCGTCTCATACATTTTGAAGCCAATTTAAAATATAGTCAATAGTTGGGCGGCCATTTGGATTCTCATTTATGCAGGCCTTAAAATAATTATTTTCTTTGAATTTTTAATAGAAATATAATTCCTTATAAATCTATTTATGAAAATATGTAATAACTAGGGTTCAGCGGTATTCAGTACCGACCGGTATCGGGCGGTATTATACCGGTCTCTTTGAATACCGATACCGATTTTACTGATACCGATACCGAATGATAAATCCCGATACCGTTTTTGCTGATACCGATACCGAGGCCGGTATCGGGATTAGCGTCGGATACCGATGAATATCGGTATTTTTTAACACTCCTAAGGAAGAAATTTGGCTTCTTGGTCTTCAAAAATTTTTTAAATTTTCGCCTGCGGCGCTGAAAAAGTAAATTTTTTGACCTACGGCCTTCTAAAATTCTCAAAAATTTCGCCTGCGGCGCTAATAAAGGAACAACTCTGGCTTATTGACTTTACAAAAATCTTAAAAATTCCGCCTGCGGCGCTGAAATGGGAAAAAGCTAGGCCTTTTGGCCTTAAAATTTTCGGAATTTTTGATTTTGGCGCCTTTGGTGAATTAAATTTTGGCTTAAAAGTAAAATAATGTTCATTAATGAAACACAGGTGTTTTGTTAACGAACGAAGCCTAATGAAAAAAAAGTTTTATGCAGGTCTGGTCCCCATATTGAGGGATATCATTCGATTATCGGGGGTATCCCTAGTACTCCCAAAAGTCGACTGATATCCCACCTAATCCCCAAAGTTGATTTGAGGTATAAAGTTTAATTTGGGGTATACCCGTGGATGAAGATGATATCGGAGGATTAAAGATTTGGAGGTCTTCTATTGGTTCCTGAGATGTTTTTGTCTTGAGAATGGCTTTATAGTGCTAATTTATCATTTTACTACAGATTAATACTTTTTCAAAATGAGGAATAAATTTATTTATCAAAGAATTTATTTTTTTTTTTGCATTAAAATTTTTTTAGGAAATAGCGATACCGATTTTTCAATCCCGATCCCGAGTCGGTATCGGTATCATCAATCCGAAATACCGATACCGGTTTTTTCTCGGAATACCGGTACCGCTGAACCCTAGTAATAATCAATAATTTGTACTAAATAGTACTAATATTAAACAATACTTTAAGCCTGTTAATCGTTTAGTTGTTAAAATAATCATAATTTATTTCAAATATTGAATCATTTTTAACTATTCTATTTACCTTTATAATGTTATCTAAATATGTGCTGTATTTATCGCTTTTACGATATTTGTTTAATGCTTTATCAATATTCATATATTTGAACAATGATGAATATTCCGGCAATTCTTTATGAAGTAGCTCATAACCCATTAAACCAAATGCCCAAATGTCCACTTTTTGAGATATCTAAAAAATATAAAAATATTTTTTTTTCAAAAGAAAATATTCTAACAAATTTTGATAAATTCACTAATTAATCATTATAAATTTATTCTATTATTTGTTAAACTACATACATTGGAATTATCCTTTTTGCGAATTTCTGGGGCCATAAAATCTTTAGTCGTCAGACTAAGATCCGCATTTCCTTCATTTCCCAAAAACACAGAAGTGTTAAAATCTATTAATTTACACTTCAACGGATTAATTTGCATTCCACTTTGATATTCATTTAATGCAATAATAAAATTGTCAGCTTTAATATCCAAATGAATACCATCTACATTTTAAACAAAAGTTTAATTTTGAAAAATTACAAAATTATTACCAGAATCATGGAATTGTTTGATAGCTAAAGCAGCGGCTTGAAGTATATTTTTTACAAAATAATAATAATACTCAGAATTATTTTGGATGGATTGCTTGTTTTCATGAAAATAACTAGCCAAACTTTTTCCACCAAGTTCCATAACAGTGTACATTTTTTCTGTATCTTCATCCTCCTCACTTAAAATAAGAAATTTACTCAAATATGTGGTCTGGGATTTGAAACTAGTCAAGTTTCAAAATTATTAATATCATTTTAAAATTCGATAAAAAAATTCTTTGAAATTATCAAAAAGTTTTAATAATAAAATTAAAAAATACTTGAATAAATAAACCAAAATAAGATAGATTTTTATTTCTTACTTATTGCTATTAATTTCTTACTTATTGCTATACTTTCCAATTCTGTGTTTGGTATTAGTGTTTAACACTATAGTTCCAATTTGTGTTGTTGCATTGAGATCAAACTCACGCCTATGACTACATTTGAATGTAGATGATTGTTCATCATCCGAGGATTCCGAGTCTGTATCGTCCGCAACTTGGTGTTTAAAAATTATTTTAAATTTTTTATAGTAGTATATTTTTAATTTTTAATATATAATTTTATTTAAATATATTTTATATATATTTTTAATTGTTATATTTTTTAATTAATATATTTATTTAAATATATTTTTTAAATATAATTTTATTTAAATATATTTAATTTAATTATTTATTAATATAATGTATTTCCTACCCGAAAAATGTAGTAAAAGCAAATTTACTACTAACAAAAATATTAATAAATGGATATCCATTTATAATCTTCTAAATTAAAGTTTAAAAAATATCTAATATTCCAGATTTAAAATAATAATTTAAAAATAATTTAAAATTTAAAAATTTTTAAAAGCTTTATACATAGGGGGGAATTAAAATTTAAAAAATTCAGTTAAAAATTTTAAGTGGAAGCGCATAATGAAGACTGCTGTAAAGAATGCTGTAAATGAATAGTGTAGAGTCGATTAAATAAGAAGAGGTAAGTGGATTAAATAAGAAGAGGTAATATAGGTTTTTAAAATTCAATAAAAAATTTTTTCTATTGTTTAATTTCTTTAGCTAGGTAAGGAATTGAATATTAATAGAGAAGCAGAATAAAATATTATAGCCTATAGAAATAAATTGAAACGTGTAGCAACATTTAAATTGACAAAAAATGTTTTTTTATTTAAAACATTTTAAAAGATAATAAAAATTAATTTATTTTTAATTAAATTTATAAATTTAAAAATAATATTCGTTCCTCCTTTCATTTGTTTAAACACTTTTTCCTTATTCTTGAAATTTCAAAAGCCTCTCCAATCTTATAATGATTAAAGAATTATTTTAAATTTTAAATTCATTTTTTGGTGTAATTAGCATAGTTTTATCAGATATCAATAAGTAAAAATAAACTAAAATATTTATGTTTGCTTAATTGCTTGAGAGCTATTGCAGCGCTTGAAGACGAAAACATAGTGAAATTTTTTTGTACAACAGATTTAATGAAATGTGTGTTCTGGAAGTCAAAACTAGTTTCAAAATTATTATTTTTCTTTAATTATAAAAGATTTTTGGAACTATTGCAAATTCAAACTATGAATTAAATAAATGCCTCCATTAAAGAATCAAAATAGTTTAGTTATCACTACACAACACAGATCAAAGTTTTTTAGGTTAATTAAACTGAAACAAGGAAGAAAAAAAAGAAAATATAGTATCAAAAAAACAGCTCAGACAAATCAGCATTTTATTTATAAAAATTTTCCTCAATTTAATCAAACATAAATATTAATAAAATTTTCTCGAGATCATAAAAATATATTTATAGTTAATTCCATTTTCAAAAATTATTTAGATCTTTCCTTCTTTTTCCTCAAAATCCTCTCATCCATGGTTTGCCTGAAGGATGTTGATTTCTTATGAAAGGATTTGTAGAAAATATTCCAACTTTTCCTTCCCTTTTAGTGCTTGTTTTATCATTAATATTAGCCAAATCAATTATTTCTTTATCATTTAGATTAGGCAAAACAATATTTGGATTGCTTTGTCTCAACATTCTTCTTGTTTTTTGTCTTAATTTCCTCCCCTGTGCATTTCTTAATAATTGCTCTAAAGCCGCCTTTAAATTCGGCACATTATTTATTTTTTGGCCATTCTGATTGTTCTCAACTTTTACAAATAAAGAAGAAAATAGTTGATTTTCTTTGTTATTATTATCAGAATTTGTTTCATTTATTTCTTCCAAAATTTCCTCTTCTTTTAGTTTAGGAATTAATTCATCCATTTTTATCAATTTTGATGCACGGAATGAACGAGGATTTTGCTGAAATTCTGGATAGTTTTCGAATTTTCTATCGTGGTCTGGACTGTGTAATAAACACTGGATGGGAGAGAAGTAGCATGGTCTGAAAAATTTAATTCTTTGAATTAATTGAAATTTCGGAATTTGAAAGAATAATCAAGAATTATAATTATTCTCGTTAACTATGTAGATTATTTAACCAAAACATTAAGGCAATATTAAATATTGATATTTTATGTTTTGAGTAGGGTGCCAAAATTGACCGACTCGGACCGATAGATCAAGTCGGATCTAAGATATTTGGCCAGAAAAAGACTCGTACGGCCCGCTCGATAAAAATGAGGCCCAAAAAATGACTTGACCATTGGCCCGACCTCAACCGTAGTTTTTAGGAATTTTTGGATCCTTTTTTAATATTTTTCACCTTCTAGAAGGGGAAGACGGTCTTCTAATAGAATTTAGTATATTTTCATTATCACTAGAATCAATAAGAGGTGATTCAACTTCTATATTATTAACTTCGTTTTCATCTTCTTCTAAATTATCAACAGATCTTGGCATAATCTATAAATATTAAATTTTATTAAAATAAAAATTATTATTATTTAATTCACTTTGAATAAATTATCTTTAAATTAAATATTATAATAATTAAAATTTTAATTAATTTTTATTTAAAATATTTACTTTCTTTTCTTCCTCCACTTGATTTGAACCTTCATTTCTATTTTTTAACAAAAAATTTGGAAAAAGAAGATTTCTTTTTTGTAAACTTTTCAATTCTTTACATAAACCAAAAGGTTTATTTAAAAATAATAAAAACAAAAATAATATTGAAATAATTAAAAATATATTTTTGTTGAATAATTTCATTTTGTAAAGAAATAAAAAATTATATTTCAAATTTGCCTTTTAAATAAAAAAAAGTGTGCCCAAATGTATGAATCTGTTAAAAATTAAAATTTTTATTTAATTAATCTACAAAAAATAATAATAAATGAATAACATTTATAATCTTTAATATTTAAAATAATAAAAGAAAGGAATTTGAAAAAAAACAAAGGAGAATGAGCGGATTTAATTATGGAATTTAATTATGTTTTAATTTTTTTAACAAACATCATTTGTATTAAAAAGAGATTTTTGAATAGAAGGATAAAAGTACAATTTAAATTTAAAGAATGTTTGTTGTACTTTGGAATTTAAGCAAAATTATTGTTATCCTCATAGTTATTAATTAAAGATTGGAATTTTTAAAATATTTTTGTTAGAAATATTTTTAAATAAGTAATAAAAATACTTAGAAAGCTTAGAAATACTGTAGCTTAGAAATCATTAAAATATTATTTTATTTAAATAGTTAAAAATCCTAATTTTTGTAATTTTACATTTCCATCATTTTAAGACGATTTCAACATAGTGAGAATTAGGAATTCTGGCTAGGAAAGAATTTCTGTAGTTTTTATCTAAGCTAAGAAAATGCCAGAGATCAAGCTTTGGAATCTTTTCGTATAATATTTTTTATCTTTTCTTCTACAAAATTAAAATGAAATTTTTCAAAAAATTTTCCTAAAATTAAAAAACATTTTTACATGTAAATAAAATTTTAAAAATAATAGTTTTTAATTTCAAATAAAAATATTTATTTTTAAAATATAAATTGAACAATTAGGAAATCTGGTAAAATTAATGTTTAATTTTCTAAATATAAATATAGAATTGATAAAAAACAAAAAAATATCTAAATATATTTAAATAAAGCAACATTACCTAAAAATAAATTTGAGAAAATTTTGTGAGGCTATTAAAATATATTTTCTCAGGGTTTGATGTATTTGGGTAAAATTTTTGCAGAAGTTAAAGAAAATAATTTTTGTTTTTTTTTATTTTTAATTAAATAAAATGATTTCATTTATTTATTGTGAATTAACAAAAAAAACAGCCAAAAATAAATTAAAATTAATTGAAGAAATAGGCATTTATTTAATTATAACCACCTTCTATTAAATTCCAAACCTACCCAAATATTTTAATTAATTTTTGCTTTGCAAAGAATATTTATCCAAAATTTTGTATAATTTTGCAGAATTTAAAGATATAATTTTGCAGAATTTTAAAAATAATTTTCGACAAGAAAGAAGCAGAACTTTTCAACTCGATAGAAATTATTTAAATTATTTTTTGATTTATCTTAATTAAAGTAAAATTTTAAAAAATAATTATTATAAACTACTAATTAAATATTAACTTTTTTTGTTAAATTTAGATATTTAATCAATAAATAATTAATTCATATATTTTAATAAATCTCAAGAGAAAAGTTAGCAAAAATATTATTTTTAAATTTAAATGATTTTACCCAAGGGATTTATAAAAACTTGATTAGTATATAAATAATAATTTAAATAATTAATTGTTAATTTAAATTAAATATTTAAATTAATTATTAATAAAAAAATATAAAAATAAAAATTAAATAAAATATCACAAGATTTTATTATATTTTTGTTTTTAATAAAAAAAAAGCTTGAGAAAAGTTGTTTATGAAAGCCCTATTATTGTTTGAAACGGAAAAGTTTAAAATTAATTTTTTGTGAGAAATTTTTAATTTAATTCAAAATTATTTTTTAATTAAAATTTTGAACATTTATTATGTACAATATATTTATTAGGGAATACAGAACTCAAAAAATGTTAAATTATCTATTTTATTCAAAGTTTTTTTCAAAAAAATTTAATAATTCCTTTCTTAAATTTTGTAAATTTATTTTAAAAAATAGAGTAAAGAATTGTTATAAATTAAAAGTAAATTAATTAAATAAAATAAAAGAAAATTGTAAAGTGCCAAAAGAAAAAATAAATTAAATTTTGTTTGTCAATTAACTTTTTAATATTAATTAAATAAAATTAAAGAGAGAACAGATTTTTTAAATTGAAATAAAAGAATTTTATAAAAATTATTTAGTTTTTAAAAAATTAATTAATTTTAAAATTTACAAAAAATATTCAGAGAAATTTAATTTTTGTGAAAAAATTGAATTTTAGAAAAAAAATAAATTTTTATTAAATTAAGAAGAGAATTTGTCTTAAAATTATTTGTTTAATTTATAATTTTTTGGCTAAAATATTTAAAATATATAATTACCAATCTAATATCCCCAAATTAAATCTAAAAATTTTTACAAGTTGTAAAATGCAAAAAATCCGATTTATGAACAACTAAAAGTTAAAAGTAAGATTAACTCTAAAAATTACAAAGATGACATTTTTAGATTTAGTTAAAAACAGAAAAAAATAGTTTAAATGTTTATTTTGCGACAAATTTGGCTCATAAAATTTTTTAATATTTTTAAAGTGAAGGGGGGCTTTCCTAAAATAAACGTCATTAAATATTTCCTCTTTTACTTAAAGTGGGGGAAATAAATGCTTAGAGAGACCAAATCCTGAAAGACACTTCTTACTTTAAAAATAAAAGAAAAAATATAAAAAAAGTCTGTCTACTAAATATTTAAATAAAAATTATTTAAAAAAAACGAGGAAATAAATGAATAATAATTTTGTGTGTGTGGGCGATATAGAAAAGTATAAAAAATAAAAATCTCAATAAGAAAATAATTGGGCATTTTAAAGTAAAAGAACATTTTTTGAAAATTATTATTTTATAAAATTTAGTGAACAATTTACTAATATTAATCAGTCTATTTCGGTTTTGTATAGAACAAATAATTATTTATAAATATGTATTGTGTTTTAATTTATATACATAATTGTAAAGAAAAAAATTTTTTTTGCAATTTAAAAAAGAATTATTCATTTTAAGTTCCTAGCCAATTATTGTTTGAATTATTTATCGAATCATTTCCCACTAAAAATCCTAATCATTTCCAAAATTATGAATTTATATTCCTGATGCAAAGGCAAATATAGTTGCAAAATGGGTGGGATAAAAATTCATGTCACATAGGAAATATTGTTTGAAATAATATTGGACTTAAATGTGGTCACAACATATGCACATTATTTGCTCAGTATTACCTTCGGGATCGATTCTGTCTTACATATCCCCGATCCTTATTTATTTGGGAAACAATGAATATTATTATTAAAATAAATATACTTTTAAACATTTACATATAAAATATTCTGTTAAGTACTATTTAAATATATAAAATGTTTTTTAAATTAATTATTTTTATTTAATTTAAAACGTAAAAGAAATATGTATATACGTAGCTAAAAAGAAATGTATAAATTAAACCAAAATTGAATTTTATTGGACATTTTCCAAGTATTTTGACAAAAAGAGTAAATTAAATTGGCTACATTTAAACTTTTTTTAAATACTTTTGAGCTAAGACTTAAAATATCAACGTAATAGTACTAATTAATTTTTTAAAAGTATTGCCCGAAATATTTCTTAGAAAAGACTGATATAAAATTATATCATAGATTATTATGTTAGAACGATAAAAATCGAGTCATTCCATAAGGAAAGCCTTAGAACTTGAATATATGGGCTTTGGAAATCTTTGGATATCCGTAATTGACTGAAAAATCTTCGTTTTGTCTCAGAATTGTTGTATAGTAAAATTGCCTGAAATTATTTGAAATTTTTAAATTAAAAAAGGAAGAGGCGGATATGAAAATAGAAAAGTAAATATTACATATTTCTATTTTTGAGTTTTTAATAAATATTTTAAAACTTCCTATACCCTACTTAGAAACTAATATAGAAATAGAGAAATGCTAAAAAAGCAAATAAACGGAAATTAAAATTTAGAATTTGAGACATAAATGTACTATTAAGGATTATTTTTTTATATATCGAATAAATATACCTAAAAAAGGATTCCTAAAATGAATTAAAAATGGAAATAAAATTTCTAGTAGTAAAACGTTTATATTTATTGGGGTATATTGGTATCTCTGACTAATCTAAAGAAGTTATTATTGTTATCCAGATTTGATAGGAATTTTTTCAATTTACGTAAATAAAGAAGTTTTGAATCAGGTAGGCCTTCTCCAAGTCAAAAATTAGTATGGGGTGTTTGAATCTACTATATATCTTTTTAATTTCCCATAGATATCTTTAACACTTTAATTAAAAATTATAAAATATTTAGGAAAAAAACTTTGAACTATTAAATTAGAAAACTTCTAATGTCAGTTCTTCTGAGACAAAACTTTTTTCCATCATTTTATTTCCATAAACTAAATTGTAAGCTAAAAAGCTCTTCCATTTTCTTAAAAAATTTTAATATGTAATAAAAAAGGTAAATCATTCATTCGGAAATTTAACAAAAAATTCTAAGTAAAATTTATATTTAAATAATTGCACTATTTTAATAAAAGTTTTTCTTAATAATTTAGTGTAGGCGTATTTATACATATTAAAAATTCTTTTGTAAATAACTTTTGAAAAATTGAGTTTAATTGCGCGTAAAAACTGAGTAATATAAATAAATAAATAAATTATGTATATTTACCTAAATAAAATATAACTGTATTCTGTTGGAAATATTTTTAATTTAATATTGTTAATCCAGAAAAATTTACGGATTTTAGTTAATAATTAATTAATGGTACTATATAATGTAAAACTGAGACGCGGGTTCACCGTTAACAGTAAAAGATTTTCAGAGATTTATGTCCACTTTCCACCGCAACCAACATCCCTGTGTCGATGTCCGTAGGGAGGAAAAGGTCCGAGAAGTATTCGATGTCCCGAAAGGTACTTTCCGAACTTTTGTAAAAATTTCAAATTTTTGCCTATCCACAAAGGACAGTGAAATAGAAAATGAGCCGAATAAAAGAATTACATTCATAAAGAGCTAGCCTATACGGATTTTTCAAAAATTTCATAGCGGAAAAATTTCTCCTCATCGCTCAAAATTTTTCCAAGACAAATAATGGGCTATTTTTATTTATTTATGTATTCCTTTCTTCAAAGTGCAGACAAAACAAACAATATTTTTAAAAGTTTATTTTTAAATAATTTAAAAATTTTCAATTTAAGTTTATTTAAATAATAAATTTTAAAAACAATTTCCCAATTTAGTACACATTTAAATTTAAATGTTTGTACAGGCAAATGTCTGAAAAAAATTTTTTAAAATAAAGACAACAAAAGTGCATCAATATAAAAGCGAATTAAAATTATTTTTATTTAATAAAAAAATTAAAGAAAAAATGTTTCCAATTAAATTTATATTTTTAATTTTAACTTTAATTATTTATTTTGTTCTTGGATTGAATAAGAATAACGGATTTATTAAACCATTTATACTTGCTCCAGTTGAATAATGAAGATTTTGAAACTGAAGATATTGTTGATATGTATAGTGATTAAAATAATTTAATTAAATATATTGATGTTACTATTTAAATAAAAAATTTAAATTTTAATTTAAAAAAGTTTATTTTTTAGATTTGTAAATTTAAATAAAAATCTTTCGAAATAATTATGTAATAAACTTGATAGACAATTTAAGTAATAAAGAGAGGATAGATTATTAATTTCTTAATAAGCACTTTACAAAATTTAAAATTTTTTATTAAATATATTTATGAAAATATATAAATATTAAATATATTTTTAATAAATATATTAAAAATACTATATTATATGATCTGCAGGAATTTTTAACAATCATAGTTTTATCGGTATTATGATTTACTCTTATTTTAGTATCAAATTGAGTTGAGTATGAAGAAATTGCTGCCACAACCGCCCTCCTACTTGATTTGAATGGTTTTTTGTTTAAAAAAGGATTAGGTTTATGTTATAGAAGCAAGCGATGCTCAAGATTTTGCACAAGCGTCTCGCAGCTACAATGAATAGCGGAAATCAAAGATTTTGTTTATCAAATTTCCTTGTTTTACATTTTGAGATGGGCCGAATTAGAGGAAATTTTGCTGTTTCACATAATGATTTTAAATTTTACATATAGTAAAGCCGCTGGGCTATAGCTACATATTTCTCTCCTTTAGCTAGAGAAAAGCTTAATCGGCGGCTGGGAGCGAACCAGCATCTTCAGTAGACCGGAAACCCCATGTGTTAGCCTTTACACCACGCCGCCTACTGCAACGCCTTAGGAATTAAATAGCTGTATGCTCTACAATATGTATAATTCCTAAATTAATTTTTAATTTTCAGAATATGATTAATTTCAATGTTTTTGCAATTATTATATTGCTTTTACGTAAAAATTTTCTTTTTGAATTTGAAATTAACTTTGAGAATGTTGCTAATTATTATTTTAAATTTGATGAAATATTATGTGCAGATGGAAATTTTAGTCAACAAAACAAGTTAATATTTCCTGAAAATTTTAATTCACAGGAAATACATTTTATATCAAATTTGCATATTGGAATGCCATGTAACAATAAAAGTGGTTATTTGTTAAATTTTTGGAATAAACCTTTAGAGGATGCCGAATGGGAGATGCAAGTAAATTTTGTTAAAAATAAATTTATAATAAATATATAAATAGTAAATTACTTTGTAATAAATATAATAATCTGATCAAAATATTACATATTGGTGGTAGCAAAAAATTATCACTAATTTGTTTGAATTAGCCCTACCGTTTTACATCAAGGGTAATATGCTTATGCAGTAGAGGGATAAAAACAGATTACCACTAAAATATCCTCGAAAATTAATCTCTCTTCTAGTTTATTTTGTGTATTTTATTTTATCGCTTATGGGCTCCTAAATAATATACTTAAATTTTTCAAATCTTTTTAATCTAAAATATTAAGGAAGTGAAATTTTCATGTCCTGTTCCGAAAAATAATTTGACAACTTTAAACACATATTCGATAAGATTAATTCAACTCAAAGTTTATAAATGGAAAGCAATTTGTGAGCAGAAAAACAATTTAATTAACGTCCCATTTCTAAAGATTGTTAATTATTTTGAAAATGAGGCTAAAAATTCAAATAAAAATATTTTGCCTACGAACGACTTTTTAAGGGGAAAATTAATTAAAATAATAATTGATGATTCTGAAGGAAATTTGGAAAGAAGTTTAAATGAAAAACAAATAAATGTTATTAATATGATTAATGAAATTATTGGTAAAAATTTAAAAATATTTTTGAAAAAGAGAAATTTTTTAAATTTAATTTAGGTAATTATATGCATAATGTTCAAAATACAATGTCACTTTTAATACCAAATTCAAATGAAAGTTTTTTGTATGGATTAATGGAGATGATAGAAAGTAATTATGGGGTAAATAAAGGAAAAATTGGAGGTTTATTTTTAATAATTATTGTTAGTATTTTAAAAAAATTTAAATTTAAAGAACAAAGTAATAAACATAAAGGAAAGAATATTGAGGAAGTTCAAAACAAGAAAAAAGGTAAGCAAATTGCCGTTGATTACCATGAGAATCGAGGTATTAATTAAATATATTTTGAAAATTTTATTATTATATTTGCCGCTATTTTTAATCATTTTTTAAATTAAATAATTATTTATATTTCCCAAAAATTTATTTATAGATTTACAAATTCATGAGAAGGATATAAACGTGAATGGAGATAAATTAGAAGAAATTTTAAATAAAATTTTTGTTTTATTGGAGAATTATTTAATGAATGATAAAATAATTCCAAAAGATAATTCAAAACAAAAGCACAATCTTCCTCCTAAAAGTCCTTCTTCTATTCATTTTAATCAAAGTCAAACAAATGTCCGCTCAAACAAACGGAATCACGAAGGAGGTAGGAATTTTGGTTATTTAAATTATTAAAATACTTAGAACTTATGTAATATCTAATATGTCCCCCAAGAAATCATTTAATTTGTTTTGAATAATTTTTAAAAAAGTAAAATATGATATAAGATACATTTGTTAATTTTAAATTTTAATTCAAATATTTAATTTCTGATTTTACAAAAATAGCTTCTGTGTGCTCTAAAAAGAAAAAGAAAATGATTGATGATAATTCATCATCTAACATTATTCAACAAAATATTCATCTTGAAAAAATCCCTCAAGAAAATCCAAAAATTAAAGAAACAAATAAGGAAGAAGGAAATACTTCTTCAAATTCCAAGCTTAATCTGGAATTGGCTCTTAAACCGTCAAATAACGAATGAAAAACTAAAAAAAGAAAAGGATTTTAAATATATTTAATTTTTTAAACCGTTTGTAAAACTTATTTTTAACTATTCATCCGTCAACAGGATTACTATTATACAAATTCTGTTAAATTATATGTTTTTTAAATTTATTTTCCAAAATTTTAATTTTCAAAATTTTAACTGCATAAAATCTTTTAGAAGACTTTTCAGTTTTTTAAAAGAAATCCGATTGATAAACTAATTCAAACTTATCCAAAAAAACTTGACAAGTTTAGAAGAATAATATCTAAAACACTGATATTAATTTTGTTTTTGCCCCTTCATATGGCCGCATAAAATTCACATATCAGCACTACACCGTTGCAAAGTGATTCTTGGCATTTTTGTTATTTATCGTTGCAGTTCCTATATTTTTTCATCAATAATTTTTAATTTCTGCCCAGATTTTGCGATTTTCGTCAATATGTTTGAGAACTTTATTATTCATTTATTTTTATAAAAAGTTAAGAAATCAAACTTAAATATATTTTTAAATAGTTTCACATGATTTTCCCTAAACTCTTCACTCAATAAATTCTCTCAGAGTATTTTGTCTGTGAAATTTGTCTGGGAATCTTTAAAAATTAAAAAAAATTATTAAAAGTGCTTTTATTGAATTTTATTTAAAATGTATGTATTTGCGGATTTTAAAAATAAATGCATATTTTCTTGACTCTTCCAATAACTACATACCCTCTTTCGATAATTACTCCTTCAAGCTAGAAGAAAAATAATAATTCAGAGTAATTATTTAAAAAAATACAGTAACTAATTAAATAATTAATTTTAATTTTTAAACACTGTATTGACAAAAATTTTAAATTAGAAGGTTTAACTCTAAATCAAATTTAAAAAGAAAAACTATTAAAGAATTTAAATTCGAAATTTAAAGTTCTAATTAATTAGACAATTTGAATTAAGTATTTTCTTATCAGTTACAAATATGTAAACTTATCTTTATTTGGTTATATATTTAAAATTTAAATGTAAATTATATTATAAATCTTTATCCGCAATATTTGTCCGCAATATATGTACATATTTATTTATTGCACTTTCCATCTAAATTAATTTCTCAACTTAAAAACAAAAGTGCATTGATAAAGTGTCTGATGTAAATTAAAGGCAATATATATAAATGACAATAATTTCCTTGCCTTTATTTACATCAGACATTAAATTTCGGTGGGCTAAAATGTAAACAAGAAACGCACTTTTCATACATTATACATAAATACATAAACTATAATTTAGAATTTCTCTAAAATCCTTTGAGCACCGCCGATAAAAATTTTTGACTGCCAAGAGAACCTCCTTATAATTTTTATTTATTTGTATTATTTAATTTTGCCTTTTTTAGAATTTAATAAAAAAACTTTTTTTTTGAATTAATTAAAAAATGATAAATTTTGACGTTTATGCAATTATTATTCGAATGTTACTTTTACGAAAAAATTTAATTTTTCAATTTGATGTTGATTATGAAAACAGACATGGATATTTTTTTGCATTTGGTGAAATTAATTGTTTAAATTCTTCTCAAGAAAAAAGAATTTATTTCGATAAATTTAATATGATAGACGGAAATGTCCATTCAATTTTGCATTTTGGAGAAGCTTGTGAAGATAATAGATATAAATTACATTTTATGAATAAATCTTTAATAAATAGTGAATGGGAGATTCAGGTATTTGTTAGGAATCGGACTTTGATAACATCAAAATTTAAGTCTAAATTATATCAAATTTTAATTTTAACTGATCCTTAGTATTGATAAATATTTTAATTCAATTTGGAAATGAAAGATTAATTTTTAATAAAAAGAAAAAATTATTAATGCTTTTAGCCTCGGATATTATTTAATTTTAATCCTAAAATAACTAAAAATAAGCTTGGAAATAAAAATGATTAAAATTAGGAGAAAAATATAAGTAAAAATAGCATGATATTTGACAAAACATCTCCTAACGTTATTTTTGTGTAAAAAGATTTTTTGTGTCAATCTATTCAAATCCTAAATTTAAATTGTATTTCCCCACCCAATGACCAAATTTTAAAAAGTTTCCAAAACAGAGTTATCTAACTTTGTGGTTATCAAATTCAAAGTCTAGCAGAATTAAATAATTATGTATTAATATTTAGACAGCAACATTTACTTGTCCCAAACCAAGTAATGAATTGACATCACTAAACAATTATTCGATTAAATTAGAAGAGCTTTGGGTTTATAATTGGGAAGCTATTTGTGAACAAAAAAATAATTCAACAATATTTCCATTAGAATCCCTTCCAAAAATAATTGAATATGAAAACAGTTTATTAAATTCACAAAATAATATGGACCCTCTTAAAAAAGAATTAATAAAAATTTTGTTTGACAATTCTAGAAAAAATTTAGAGAAACTTAGTGAAAAACAAATAAATGTTATTCGTATAATTATTAAATTAATTGGTAATTTAATTTAAAAAAATGTTAAACTTTTATTAGAATTTGATAAAAATTATTTTTATATTAGATAGGATGCAGGGAGGGAAAAATCCTTTCGGAAGAAAATTCGGGAAACAAAAATTTTTTTAGTAAAATAAAAATTATTAATTCATTTTTCTTTATTAAAAAAATTTAAAATAAAATTCAATTTTCTTAGGCGAATATACAAGTATTTTTCCAATGCCGCAGCAACCTTCATCAAATATATTAGAAAGCTTTTTGACAGAAATTATTAATATTTTAAATCGTTATAATTTAAATAATCAACTTGAAACTTTTGGAGGTTTTTATTTTAAAAATTTATAAAAATAAGTTAAAAAATGAAATAAATTTTTAAATAAATTTAATTTAGAGAATATAAATTTTGAAAATTATAATGATTATGAATGGACTAAATCGTTGATAGAAAAACAAACAAAAATGATTTTAGGTATAATTTAAATAATAATTTCTAAAATATAATATCCACATATTATACATTATAATTCTTTTTAAAAATTAATTTATTTTTAAGAATTACACCGTCTTAATTTAATAAATAATCGAAATAAAATATTAGAAATTGTATTGAAAAATATTTCTAATTTGTTAAATAAATATTTAAATGACGAAAAAATAATAAATGAAATTGAAACTTTAAATTTAATCCCAAATGAACGTAAACAAAAACAAAAATTAAAATATGATCAAAATAAGAATAAAGGTAAGGATTATTTAGTTTTTGAGTTAAAAATCTGGGGGTTATAATCTGGGTAAAAATTTGGATATATGTCAAGATTATTAAACCAAAAAAATTACTATTCTATTTATAAGAATTCTTGCAAAATTTTTAGAAACACCTTAAAGGCAACATCCACCGTCTTTAATTTTTAATTTAAACTTTGTTTATTTAAACTTTATTATTAAATTTAAAAAATGTTTAAAATCTACAGAAGGATGTTCTAAACGGAAACAGCCAATAATTGAAGAAAATTATTTAAATAAAATTTACAAAAATTCTTCAAGTTTTGATAAAATTTCTGAAGAATATTATCAAAAAGGGCCAAAGAAAACTCGAAAAATAATTTATGAAAATAAAAATAATAATTTAAAAGACAATGAAAGTAATTATTCTTCGACTTCTAAAAAGAATAATTTAAATTTGGAATTATCTCTTAAACCTCCAAATTCATCTGACAAATAAATAAAAAATAAATACAATTATTTTAAAAATAAAAATTTTTCTTTAAATATTTAAAACAAAATTAATATTTCTTTCTCTTTCCTTTTTCTTTTATTTTAATTTCTTTTATAATTCTGTTAATTAAGTTATATGTACATACGCACCAGAGATTCTGCCGACAGAAAAACAAAATTCCCGATATCAGGAAATCGGGATCCCGACCCAAAAAATCATCGAAAATTCCCGTTTTCGAAAATCGGTAATCGGGACGGCAGGATCCCTGAACCACAATTTGTATCTTTTGAGTTTTTCAAATTGAAATTGAAACAAAAATTATTTTTTAGTTTCTAAAGTTATTTATTTTATTCTTATTTTAAAATTTTCTTTAGACAAACTTTTAAGAAAACAATTATTTTAATTAATTTTAAGTTTATAAAAATTCTTCATTCATTATCGGATTGAAGAATGGAAGGCTTTTGAATTGTAAAAACTGTTAAAATTTGATAGAAATTTGAAGAAGTGTTAATTTATTAAATAAAAAGAAAAATCATTTTAAATAATAAACTTTATTTTTAAATTTATCAAATTGTTTTAACTTAAAAAAACATTTTCTGTCAATTTTAATGTTGCTACACGTTTCAATTGAGTTGTATAAGTTTTAATATTTGCCTTCCTCTCTATAATATTTGCTAAGGGTAATGATTGCCTATCCACCCCCTCACCCTCTCCCCACATCACCCCCTCTCCCACCCACTCCCTCCCCATATCCCCCCACCCTCCCCCTCCACATATCAAACCCCCTCCCTCCTCCCCCTCCCTCCTCCCCATACCACCCCCTCCCCCACCCACTCCCTCCCCATATCCCCCCTCCTCCACCCTCCCTCCTCCCCATACCACCCCCTCCCCCACCCAATTCAGAGATATTAAATTGGAGTACAGACATGATTTTTTAATTATTTATTTAAAATTATTTATTTTTGTTTAACTAATAAATTTATACATTTGCTTTAAATAAATAATTATATGATGATATCCACCCAACTACTCACCCTGCAGCTAGTTTAATTAAATAATTAATATTCAGAAAAATCCCGTGTTGTTGACATACCTACCTTTAGCTGCGAACATGGAAAAGAGTTAAAAAAACAAATTCTCATAAATTATAAAGCGAAGGAATTCAAAATAAACTTTGACTTTGAAAATCAAATAGGAGAAGGAGCATATAGTCAAGTAAGAAATTAAGTTAAATATTTTTATTAATTAAAAGATTTATCACGCGTATATGGAAGAAGAAACATCTTCTTTGGAAATACAAACTTCGCTTCCTTCTTCAAAAAATTTGGGAAAATGTGTAGCATTAAAAATCTCAAAGTACACTACCGAGGAAGAGAAATTAAGTGTAGATAGAGAATTGAAAATATTAGAATATTTCGCTGATATTCCGCAAAACGTTATTATTGGCATGCATGCACAGTAAGAATTATTGTTTACCTAATTAATTTTTTTAATTTAACAATAAAAACAAAAATAATTTTCAGTGATACTGTTACCGAAGAATATTATTATAGCTATAAAAGTAATGAAATATATAGCGAAAAATATATTATTTTGGAACTTGGTGGTGTTGATTTATTGAAATTTTATAATGAGCAACCTAAAAGAGGAGATCAATTGGATCTTGTAACCAAAATTGCTAAAGGAGCTGCTAAAGCACTTAGTCAATTTAATGAACGTATCTAATTATTTTAATTTAATGTGGATAATTTATAAAAACAATATTTTGGACCTATTTCTGGATGATTTTTTCTTTTATCATTTTACAGATACTAAATACTAATCTTTAATTTATTTATTAAAATTTAGATGCAATTCATTTGGACGTTAAACCAACAAATTTTCTTGTTCACTCTCAAAATGAAGATGAGATTGTATTTAAATTGATAGATTTCAACACTTCTTTTCTTATAGAAGACATGAAAAAAGAAAATATTATTAATATTAACCTGGCGAGGAAATTCAAACCACCAGAGATTCGAGAAAATTTTAAAGTAATTATATTTATTTTTACATAATATTAGTTTTTCAATAAATTTATTCTCCGCTTTAGATCTAAACTTAAAATCTAAACTTTTAATTTTATTTTTATTTAAGTTGTCAGAAAAAATCGATCCATGGCAATTTGGTATAATGATATATGAATTATTATATAAACGAGATGGTGTAATAAAAACTCCAACTTATAGTCCCCTTACAAAATCTCCTCTAAGCTCTTTTAAATATCCGTCACCATCTCCTAAATATTCACACAAATCGCCAAGTATCCAAGGAAGTACAAGCGAAATTATTGAGACTTACTCTGCATCTATTTTTAATTATGATTATTTTGACAGTCAATTAAACAATTATCGAATGGATAAGAGTAAAAACAGTCTTGTAGATCGAGTTATAAAAGTAATTTTAAATTAATCCTTTCATCTAATTAATTTTAAATTTAAAAATAAATTATTAAAATCCACAATATTGTTAATAATGTAAAAAAAACAAAAATTAATTTGTAATTTAAGAAATGCATTCAGCATGAAGAAAACCGACGTTCAAAAATGTCTGAAATAGTTGAGTTATTTAACCAAAAAGGTAAAAAACAATTAGAAGATGATAAAGGAGAGGAAATCAGTTATTTTTTGGATTGAAAAGAATGATTTACAATCGTTTTCTCTTTATTAGTCCGGGGCATTTAATTTTCGCGTCCCAAAGATATAAAAAAATTTAAAAAGAGAGAATTGCTGTCTCTATAAGCGATAACATCTTGCGCTTAACAGATAAAATTTTCTCCATTTTTTTATTTAAAATCCCACAACTTTACCTCGCATTTTATTTGATATAAACTTTTTTCTTTTTTATTCTAATCATTTCTACCTACCCATAAATACACTCTGTAACAAAATGATAGCGCCACCTATTATCAATATCCTACCAAATACTAAATGGATCTGTTTCATCTGGCAGAATATAGGTAAGGATATTATGTAGAGATGTGCGAGACCGAAATTTTTCCAAGACTCAAGACCCAAGACAAAATTTTTTCCAAGACCAAGACATAAGACCAAGACCAAAACTCCAAGACTCAAGACCAAAAATCAAGACCAAATTTTTAAATCCCATAGGTCAAATTTTTGGTTTATTTTTTGTTATTTTGATACGATCACAGTCAACTTCAGCACAATTATCTATAATTTCGAAAAATTTATGCGAAATTCAAAGAATTTCGGGGAATTTATTCTGTGGAAAATCAATAAAATAGGTTATTATTTCAGAGGGTTTGGGTGGATTAACGGGATATTAGTGATATCAAAAGATTAAGAGGGATAGCCGTGGGATTTAGCGCCGCAGGCGAAAATTTTGGGAATTATGACAGCAAAGAAGCCAAAAATCTTCCTTTTCCTGCACCGCAGGCAAAAATTTTGAAAATTTTGGAAGGCCGTAGGCCAAAAAAATTCACATTTTCAGCGCCGCAGGCGAAAATTTTTTGAATTTTGGAGCTCAAGAAGCCAGATTTCTTCCATTTTCTGCGCCGCAGGCGAAAATTTTGAGGATTTTGGATGGCCAAGCACTAGGTCCAAAAAGGCCAAAAAACCAAGACCAAAAAATAAAACCAAGACAAGACCAAGACAAACACCCCAAGACCAAGACCAAGACCGAAAAAAAACCAAGAAAAGTCTTGGTTCCAAGACCAAGACCAAGAGTCTCGCACATCTCTAATATTATGTATCAATAAGAAAAGAAAAAGTTTAATGCAATTTTCAAAAAAAATTTTCTACTAATAAATTTGATTTTACTTCTTTCAGAAAAGCATAAAATGAAAATTTAAAATACCTGGTCAAAAATAATTTTTAAAGACATTACTCAGGTTTTCCGTTGACGTTCGGGGCTACAGATCTCAATGAAGGAATTATATTGGAACTTCGTTTTTTTGTATTTTCTATAGATATCATAGATATGTTTACAGGGATTTTTGTAGATTTTTCGGACTACCCCTAAGGTCGAAAATACAAGTGGCGCTATCTTTTTGTTACACTCTAAAATCAAATTTATTATTATAAAAAATTTTTTAAATTGCATTAAACTTTTTCTTTTCATTATTGATAGATATATATTCTTGCCTATATTATATCCTTACCGATATTCTACCAAAATTTGAAACAGATTCATTTAATATTTGGTAGGATATTGATAAAAATTAGTTGGCGCTATCATTTTGTTACAGAGTGTACAAGTAAAAGCATTTATTTAAACAACATATGTATTTTTAAGAGATATCTTTAAATTTTTATAAAATCTTTTTTATTTGATAGCTTGAATTTCAATTTTAAAGCTGGTAGTTTTTAAACTGAAAAAGCACTTGAAATTAATTTAAAACTGGACAAACACATACCGTAAATGTTGAAATAATGTCTCTCTCTCAAATAATTACCCTCTCCCTATTAATTACCCCCTCTAGCGAGAGATCGAAAAAATAATTACCCTTCTTAAAATAGTTATAATTAGCCTTTTTAAAAAAAGCTCAAATAATTACCCCCTCCCTTTTAATTACCCCCTCCAGCGAGAGGTGAAACAAGAGGTTTCTATATTCCCGAGAGGTTTCTATATTCCCGAGATTTGTAGTTATATGCAGGAATAATTTTAAATAGTTATATATGTAACAGTTTTTTGGGGGAAGCACAATAAACACAAAAATGCTATATCTATAGAACTAATTATACATAAATTGTTTTATAAAGACATAAATTAGAAATCCTAGCGAAAAAGAGGATTGAAACAGAACTTAATGATGAACCTTTTTTGCGTTATGTAGGTTTAAAAACATAAGAATTCTAAATTCCTCATTTTATGCAAAGTATAAAGGGATGAAAAGAATATGAAATTTTTTTGAAATTATAATAAGAATAATAGAAACGAAAATCCCCCCTCCACCTGTTGTGTCCGCACATGCTGAAAGAATATAAATGATAATAAATAACCCATTATAGGGTTGGATGGTGGCACAGTCGGTTGTGCTTCTGTTTAGATATAAATGACTTATCCGACGTTATTCCAAACGGAGTCAAAATTAAACTATTTGCTGATGACGTTAAAATCTATAAAGTTTATAAGACTAAAAATGAAAGATTAGAATTAGCAGTTGCTCTTAAAAACGTCGAGGAATGGTCAAAAAAATGGAATTTAGATATATCAGTTGATAAGACATTCGTACTTCATTTAGGTAAAAATAACCCAAGGGATCAATATAAGATTTTTAATAATACTATAAATGAAGTTCAATCTATTCGCGACCTTGGAATAATCATAGACGACAAGCTTAGGTTTAAAGAACACATTAATATAATTATTCGCAACGCCTATCTAAGGATGAAAACAATTTTTAGAATAATAAAGTCAAGAAAAACATCAACTTGGATACTGATATATAAGAGTTATATTAGGCCTATGCTTGAATACGCACCGGAATCTTGGAACACTCTTTACAAAACAGAAATTAATTCTCTTGAAAAATGCCAAAAATTTTTTACTAAAAAAGTTTTTAAAAAAATGTAATTTACCCGAACTACCCTATGAGAATAGGTTGGAATATCTAAACCTTCAAACACTTGAGAATAGACGTAAAATTTTTGATTTAATGCTTATGTATAAAATAGTTAATGGTTATTCTCACCTGGGACTTGAAACACTCTTTTCTCATCCTATTAAGAAATCTAGCCATTCTTCTCATAGAATTATTTCAAAAAAACAAAATTCTAAAAGTTCTAGATCATTTATAAATAGAACAACTAAAATGTGGAATATACTAGGTAAAAATACTATTTTAAGTAAATCACCCTTAGATTTTAAAAATAAGCTTAAGTTAATACTTATTGTATAAATAAACTGAATGTTCTTAAAAAAATTAATTAAACTCATCCAGGCTATCTAAAAAAATCCAAAGTTAAAAACTTTATTTTTCGTCTAAATGGGCTTTGCGTCTAAGTGGCCAAATTAAATTACCTTGCGACTAAATGGTCCATTAATTTTTTATATTTTCGCGTCTAAATGGTCAAATTAATTTATTTTTATTTTTCGCGCCGAAATATTCAAATTAATTTATTTTTATTTTTTGGCGCCTAAGTGGGCTTGGCGTCAAAGTGGCCTAATCGATTTATTCCTTATGCTGTTGTTTGTACTTTTTTATACTCTAGCATTTCTTAGTTGTTTGGATTTTTAATTTAAAAAAATTTTTTTTTATTTTAGACTGAAATAATCTTAAAATTAAATTTACTATAATTTATTTTGCTGTTTTTTCAGGTTTTTTTTATGTTTTATTTAAATTAATACACAGATATACATCTAGGCTAGATAATCTTAAAATTAAATTTACTATAATTTATTTTGCTGTTTTTTCAGACTTGCATGCCTGGTGTTAAACGTAACGCAGTTCGCTTCTCACCAGTGCAATTTGACAATTAACTTAGACGTATATCTGTGTATATCAATATCCCTTCATTATGATTATTTTTGTTGAATATTCAGTTAATCTATTACCATTGACCAAATATCATATATTTTATTAAGACAATGATGTAAGTGTCCATCCCTTTCATTGTCATTTTTATATTGAATAAATAAATAAATAAAGAAAAATAATTATACATAAATTGTTTTATAAAGACATAAATTAGAAATCCTAGCGAAAAAGAGGATTGAAACAGAACTTAATGATGAACCTTTTTTGCGTTATGTAGGTTTAAAAACATAAGAATTCTAAATTCCTCATTTTATGCAAAGTATAAAGGGATGAAAAGAATATGAAATTTTTTTGAAATTATAATAAGAATAATAGAAACGAAAATCCCCCCTCCACCTGTTGTGTCCGCACATGCTGAAAGAATATAAATGATAATAAATAACCCATTATAGGGTTGGATGGTGGCACAGTCGGTTGTGCTTCTGTTTAGGCCATTTCCATGCCGATTCTCATCTCCCATCCAATGAATTTTTCCACAGCATGAACACGTATGCAATACACCTCCCCAATTCTATACCTATATAAATCACCCTTAATCCGAACAGAAATTCTATAAAAAAAGAAGATCAAAACAAAAAAACTTTTGATAAATCTTATAGATTGTTTAAACTGTTTAATTCTCGCACAATTTACCATATTCATTTTGCTCAGAAATAAAGCGGTCGCAATTTCCATTTAGAAAATCATTTAGAGCCTTAACACTTGGGCGATTATCGGCTTCTTTTTCCATGCAAACCTAAAATTTAATAAAAAAAATTTTAATAAAATTTAAGCATAAAGTTTATTTAATGTTTATAATAATGCCCAAATTTATTTTGTCAGTTACCAACCGATTAAAATTTAAGATCAACATGATCTCTCCTTTAATAATCCCAAAAATCGAATATTAAACATTCAGTTAGATAGGCCTTATTTTAAGAAATATTGTAATTATTTTTTTCCGTCTTTGCATTTTAATAAATAGTATGTTGAAATAAAATTTCAGCATATGAAATAAGTAAAACTTGCCTTAGCAACGCGATCTATACGGCTATTTCCAAGCAATCTTTTGTTTACACTAAAATTATCGGCATTGTGAGCCTTTAAAAATTTGTATGTCATTACTCCAAATGCAAAAATATCGTTTTTTCGGGT